ATAAAATATAAGTTTAAATAGTTTAAAATATCAATAAAACTATAAAAAAAAGACTTAAAATTAGATCAAAATGATTTGAAACTATTAAAAAGTATGAAAGCTAATTATAAATTTTTATGAAAAGTAATTTTCATTAAATCAGATCACATACAAAGTAAAAATATATAAGCTTCACATAAAAATAAATACATATAATAATAAAATGTTAAAAGATTCCAAAGCATTTTTATAAAGTACAATAAAAATAGAAAATATAATTCATAAGGTTTTAAAAAATCATAAAATTTATATAAAATATAAAGAGTCTATGATAAAAAAAACTATATTTTAAAATATTAAAAACCCCAATATGAAAAAATGTGAAAAGCCTTGTAGAAAAAATGAAAACTGAAAAATAAATGAAAGATTGAATTTTGTCATGTAATGTTGCTAGATTAGTTAAATAGATTAATAATTATTATTATAATCATTATCATCTTATTGTTACTTTTTTTTGCATATTGATTTCTTTTATTTCTTATTCGTGTTTCTTGTTGTTAATATCAGTGTCGGCCATGGGGGCAGCTTACCTAGAGTCATCGCAATTTATATCTTACACCCGGGTGTACATGTACACCCGGTTATTTTGTAATTAGTAGGAAGTTTGAGGATAATTAATAGGTTTAGTTGCTTCCTTGTTCCGCCGCTTCTCCACTCCCGTTCGTATGTTCTCCTTTCTTTAATTTTCTTCTGTTTATTTTTTTTTCTTTTTGTTCTCCTTTTTTTGTTTTCTTTGTATGTTCTTCTTTCTTTTCTTTTCTTTTCTTTTCTTTTCTTTTCTTTTCTTTTCTTTTCTTTTCTTTTAGTTATTCTTTTTTTTTTCCTTTGTTTGTTCTCCTTGTTTTTTGTTTTTTAGCAACCTTCTACTTTAATGTTATATTCAATTATTATGAAAATCTATATTATAAAATATTACTAAATGTTTCAGTTTCTTTTTTAGATTCATGTAGGAGTTGATTATAGATATAGGAGTATAGATTGTGATACTCGGTTGCATGTTTTCGATACTTTATAGAGGAGATTTGATGCTCAATAAAAATGTCTTAAAGTTCAACTAAAAAGCTTATGATTTTCATATCAATACTCATTTTGTAAGTTATGTTTGTTCATTTTGTTTTCATATTATGCTCATTTTTAAAATGTCAGCATATGACGTTAGAGGCTTAGAGCTATTGTATTTGTATTCTAAGATTTGGATGAAACATTACTATGAAAAGCCTTGTAGACACCGGATTTGGATGCTCACCGATGCGCCGCCGCTTCTCACCGTTGCTCGACAACGGCACGATGCTCACCGTTGGTCCCCTCTCCTCACAGTCGTTGCTCTCTGCTCACTGCCGCTGCCTCACCTCAAAGCTCTCCGATGCTGCCTGACACGCTGACACGGAAGCTCCTTGTTGCAGAAGATGAAGGAGAATGGGAGCACTGTAGAAGATGAAGGAGAAGCTGCACACGTTTTGAAACATTTAGATTGAAGGGAGGGTAAATTTGGAACACTAGTCCTACTTAAGGAATAAAATTTTACATGCTCCCGTTTTAAAATTTCAGCCACAATTTAGGATGTTTTCTTTTGGATTGAAATTTCTTGGTCTGGTAAACGTCTGATCTCTGTGTATTTTATAACTAAGGAAGTCTGGTCTGGTCTGGGACTGAAAACAGTCCAAAAGAAAACATCCTTAGTCATTTTTTTTATCGAAGAGGGCTTAATTCATAATAATAAAAGCATTCAGTAGGGATACAAGATAATAAAAGAACCACAAATAACCATTCGCCCGTGGCCGAGACTGAGAGTTAACCACCTGTAAAAAAGCAGTATAACTCGCTAGACCAAAAGTGGGCACCTTAAAGCCAATGACAGTTACCATAGCCCTTTCATCTCCCAAACCTAATGCAAGAGTCTTACAAAGCAAATGAACATAAAAAGAATAGTAAGACAGAACATAGTCTCCATCATAAAATAAAACAAAGCAGAAAATAAAGATAACACCACTGTTAGCCTTCTTGCCATCACCATCCAATAGAATCCTGGCGGGTTTAAGGCAGCTAACCCGCCGCTTCCCCATTTTTTGGCCCATCTAGAGCCATTCCTTCACCCGCTATGTCTCCTTTGGGCTGATTATCCGAGATTCTTCTTCATTTTATATCTCCAGGAGATTCTTCCCTATTTTTCGTCTCGTTCTCATGCATACTGGCCTTTGACTCAGCCGAAAATTCTCCCCCGAGATCAGCCTTTCGCTGATATCCATATCCACCTGAACTCGAAGCTGCATTAGATAGCCCCCTATTGGGTCCTGTCGGGCTCGTCTTCACCCCCTGCTCTGAGTTCTACCCAAAAGACGTTTCAGCTACAAAGCCTTCTTCATACTTTATTGGACAAAATTTATGAGAATGTCCATTTATACCACACAAAAAGCAAAAGATGGGGAGTTTTTCATATTTAAAATCCACCCAATACTTAACCCCATCTCTTGTTAAAGTAGTGCCCTTTTTTAAAGGTTTGCGAACATCCAAGCACACCCTTATACGTAGATAAGAGCTCTGTTTACCATCAAATTGGCTCATCTCAAATTTAGAGCCCGTTTGGTAGCATGAAATCGGCTGATTTGGCTGATTCCGCTGAAATTTATGAAGTTCTGGCTGAAGTGGCTGCATTGGCTGGTTCTGCTGATTTAAGAATTTTTTTTTAAAAATATACCTCGTATTCTATTAATAAAATAAAGAAAAAATTATATGTAAAAATAGCTTAAATGGTCATCTATAGTAACTTCAGCCAATACAGCCATAAAAGTAACTTCAAGCTTACTTTTTCTGCTTATTATACAATTCAGCGCGCGAAACCAAAAGTTACGTGTTTGGTGAAAAAGTTGACTGATAAGCCTGATAAGCCGAAAAACAGTGGTTCCAAACGGTCTCTTAATAAAAGAGCCTAAGAAATTACCAATTTTCCTGGCAGATCCCAAATTCCTAAATTTTATAGGGGCATTATGAACCTGTACCCAATAAGTAGCCTCAAATAAATTCATCGTTTCTGGGATGCCATCTAACTGAACAGCTTTCAATAGGATTAAATCATGTTCAAAAAGGCAAGGACCATCTTCAAGCACACGATTCATATCTAAAACATCATTAAAATTAGGCCTGGTACTTTTAACCGTAAAACCGGGAAAACCGATCCGAACTGAACCAAATTTTACGGTTCGGTTCGGTTCCTATAATTTTGGACTTCAGCTTTTTTCGGTTCGGTTCCTATAGTATAGGATCGGTTCGGTTTCGGTTCCGGTTCGGGTTCGGTTCCGGTTCCTAGACAGGAACCGAACTTCTTATACATTGCATGCGTAATCTTCATTTGAGGTGCTTCTGTGTGGAATTTTTTGATGCAATTTTGTGAGCTTATATTTCATGAAGTATAGATTATGTCCACCAAACGTGAGCTTAAAACTCAATCGGGAAGTCAGTTAAATAAATTATTGAAAACTACTACGTCAAAATATATGTAAAAACACAATGATTTTCAATATTTCATTTAACTCACTTCCCGGTTGAATTTTAAGCTTAAGTTTGGTGGATAATCTATACTTCAAGTAAAACATGCTCACAAAATGTCATCAAAAAATTCTACTTGGAAGCACCTCAGATTGAGGTCGCCAGACGGCGATTCGGCCAGAAAATTCTTATCAGGATTACTTATCTTGCACCTTATACATCATGGACCAGGTCAATCCGAGTAATTATTTTTAACTAGTTTAGTCCACTTTTATATTTATTGTTTTTTAGGAAGTATATTTATTGTTTGTTTGTAATTGTATTTATTATTTGAGTTCACCTAAAAAAGGAATTAATATTCCGCTGATTACAATGTTATTTGTTCATCATAAATTACAAATATTACCAATCAATTTATTACTACGTACTTTTTACTTATGGTGCATTATTAGTAAAAGAATATTATTGTGGGGTTGAAACTACCTGCTATTGGATGTGTACCTTGGAGCTGTTAAACCTTTTTGCTTGACCGTTGATGTCTATTTTAAATCTTTATGTTTTTGTTATGTTTAAATTTAATGTTTGCACTTGGACTTTTTGTGACATTTGAACATTGGGATATCAAGTATGTGTAATGTAATGGTCATAGTTTCATGATTTGAAATTTGAATTTTTTTACGTAACTGAGGGTAAAATGTGTTCATTTTAGTAGGATAATAAATTTTTATAAGGAACTGAAAAAAGTTAAGAACCGAACCGAATTTAATTAGAACCGAACCAAATTTAACAAGTACATTTTAACTAGAACCGAACCGAATTTAACGCCTATGATTTTTAATACGGTTCCATCGAATTTTAACAAAAACCGAACCGATCCCAAGCCTAATTAAAATTAAGCAGATACCTTTTTTCTCCCATCTCCTTGATGATCATACCCCGCCCTGGACGCCAGATAGAAGCCATCAGTTCTTGGAACCCCGACAATTTGACCCTTCGGTCGGAAACGACAACCCCCACCACGGGGAAGCCCTATGGTTCGTTCGCCTCCTCCCCTTCCTCTTCCACCTCCTCGTCGAAGTTAAGCTCGATCTCTTGTTCCTCCATTGTCATATTCTTATATGAATTGACAATATCTTCCATCCAAAATCCTCGGTCGAAACGCCCTGCTTCGGTAGCTCGTCTGCTTCGTCTTCTCGCCCGCTGCTTGCTATACCTCCCTTTGTCTAACCTGCCAAATTTCGATGGTATCGAAATCGGAAAACTAACCCTAGCGGGCCGAGCCCTAGGAGGATTCGAAGGTTTAGAGAGATAAAATCTCTCAAGCTCCGTAAAACAAAACATCCTTAGTTATATTTAGGGCTAATACTTCTTTTTTTGGAACAAATCTTTTTTGTCTATTATATTATAGTATTTGGCTAATATTCATTTTAAAAAACATGTTTGGTTTTAAAATGAAAATTATAAAATGTTGGGAACATGTGAAAAAGAAAATTTGAAAGAAGTTTTGTGGGGTTGAAAGAAACAGAGAAGCGCAAACTGCCAAGCACCAGCAAAGAACCGATGGAAATCGCCAAGACGGACTGCGGCGGCGAACTTCCAAGCAAATAGATGGGCTGAGACGAACTGAAGAAGTGGGGAAACTTCCTTGACTCCCTTGCTGTACCACTACTTCAGCCCTTCGTTATCTCAGAACCCCAAATTGAGGTGTTCACATCACAAGGTATTCATACCTACTGGCTACTGCCGTTTTGAATTTTCAGAAAACACAAAATGAGGCAGTATTTTGAGAGCATCGGTGCGAAATACAGGGATATTTACGATGCAAAGGAAAAGCCGTTCAGTATAATTTGGTAGGAAATAGTAGAAATGCTAACATTAAAGATTGTTGCATTCTCCAATGAACCTGTTCCTGAACCACTTAAGCTCATTGCTCCAGAATTGCATGAAACTGAAATTGCTCCAACAAAGCAAGCAAATTCATGCGGTAATGTTAACATCCTGTCTAGATGTGAACATTCTGCCACTGAATTCAAAGCTTATTGGTGTCTATGCTAGTTGTGGAGACTTAGGTTCTGCTGAGTTGATCTTCCAAAGGACACAAAATCCAAATATCTTTGCATTCAATTGGATGATCTCAGCTTTAACATTCAATGGCTACCCAGAAAAAGCTATCGGGTATTTGTCCATGCTCCAAGTATCAGGGATTACTGTGAATAAGTACACCATTTCTATAGTATTGAAAGCCTGTTTGGGATTGAAGGATTTAAGGAAAGGAAAGGGAGTTCATTGTGTGATATACAGGTCCGGGTTTCAAGTAGACTTACCAATTGGGAATGCATTACTCGACATGTATGGTAAACTGGGGAATATGCTCTATGCACATTTGTTGTTTGATAAAATGTCTGTCAGAGATGTTGCAACCTGGACATCACTGCTATATGGGTATTCTAGCATGGGATGTATCGAAGAGTCCCTAAATTTGTTTGAAAGAATGAGGTTAGATGGCCTAAAGCCAAATGAATTCACTTGGAATATAATCATATCTGGCTATGCTAAGAGAGGAGATTATAATGCTGCATTCGGCTTGGTATCTAAGATGAGTGAAGAGGGGTTGGAATCCGATTTGGTGACCTGGAATGCAATGATTTCAGGGTTCATCCAAAGCCACCATTATGGTGAAGCTTTTGCGCTGTTCCAAAAAATGTTAGCTGCTGGTCTAAACCCAAATGAGAGCACCGTCACCTCGCTTCTTACTATGTGTGGATCAATTGGCTCAGTTAAGACAGGGAAAGAAATCCATGGTTCAATGTTCAGAATGCGGATTACAATCAATGCCTACGTTTCTAGTGCCCTTGTGGATATGTATGCAAAATGTGGGCGTGTCAAAGATTCTTGGAATGCATTTAGAACAGCTCCCTTCAAGAACTCAGCATCATGGAATTCCATAATTGGATGCTATGGAAAGCATGGCATGGTAGACTCTGCAATAGAAGTGTTTGAGAAGATGCAATGTGAAGGAGTGCAGGCAACCGAACTCACTTTCACTTCTCTTCTTTCTGCATGTAGTCACAATGGATTAGTTGAGAAAGGTTTGGATATTTTTAGATCCATGGAAGCGCTCTATAGCATTCCGGCAACGAAGGAGCACTATGCATGTATTGTTGATCTACTGTGTCGTTTTGGTTGGATGGAGGAAGCTTATAGTATCATAATACAAATGCCAATAGAAGTTAACGATTCAACTATAGGTGCCTTCTTAAATGGTTGTAAGGTTCATGGGAGGAAAGATCTTGTTGAAATGATGGCTAAGAAAATTCCTACAATGGAGTTGAGAAGATCGGGGAGTTTTGTAACCCTCTCAAATGTTTATGCAGCTCAAGGAGAGTGGGAAAACGTCGAAACAGTGCGGGAAGTGATGAAGTACAAAAGTTTCAATAAGGTGCCTGGTTCCAGTTGGGTGTCCCGTGTAGAAGACATGTCAAAATAATGAGGTAATCCCTATGTTCTATTGTCCATTACTTTTGTCCCATTTTAGTCCATCTCAAAGTTTTTGTTTCGTACCATATTTGACAATACTTACGCGGCTCAGTGTAATCATACTCACCCATTCAAATGGAAGCATACAAAAATACGTATTCTTCCTCCTATGTGCATGCCAAGTGTATTTGAATTTTTGGTACATCAGATGGTAAGCCAGATGTATTGGCATAACCAATATGGTTTCGATAGACCTGTTGAGAACAAAAAAGATCAAATTTGGGAACCGGACAAGTGAATAATGAATAACCCTCTCTTTCAAATTCTCATGCCTGCATCTCAAGATTCAAGAAACTATGAAACTCCGTCTCTAACTCAAGAATCTACTCAAGTTTGCATTTTCCCTCAACTTTCTCTATATTTTCTATCTCCATCTCCGGTAATGTACCATAACAAATTAACAACAAATGTATCCACTATCTAAGATCTCATTGATTATTTTGTTGGCCTTTATACTACAAATTCCAGATTCAAATGAAACCCAATTTTCTAGTTTAAGACCAAATATTTTATTTTGATAAAAGTTATTTTTAAGTATGCAGACTAGGCTCCTAATATTCTTTGGTTAATTATGTTTTAAACCAATCATGCGGCAAGAGGTAAAACCATAACACTGTTTCTAACTCAATTCAATTGAACTATGAAGTTAGGACACATTTCAACAAATTCCACATCGTATTAATGATTTCAAATATGCATGCTTAACTAAATTACACTGAAAAGAGCAGTAACAAGAGGAACCAAAGATCATCCATTAACAATTGATGATTAAAAATATGCATGAGAACTAAATTAGACATGCAAATATAGATTACCATGGGCTTGAACTTTTTCTTTTGCTCATCCATTAACACAACCATGACAGCAGCAGAGGTGAAATAAGTAATTGAGCATTAATGCCTTGAAAAGCCAAAGCCATAATCACTACTACATTTAAAGCTCTTTTGTAACAGCCAATTTCGTTACATTTGGCTAGACCTGTACAAAATCGGGCTGGCCCGCCCGGCCTGCCCAACCCGCCCGCACAAATTAGCGGGCTTGGGCATATATATTTACCCACCGGCCCGGCCCGGGCCCGGCCCGCAACAACATATGGGCGGGCTTGGGTTAGGGTGTAGGCCCGTTCGGGCCGATAAGCCCGGCCCGCTACATTTAGTATATATACATATATATTTTTATATATACTAATTTATGTATTTAGTTACATGTACACATGTATATTTTTATATTTACTAATTTATCTGTATACATATTTATAGTTTATTATGTTTAAATTTAAGTTTTTAGTTCTTAACAAATAGTCCAACCAATATAATATCTATTTTTGTACTTACAATAATACTTTGTGCATGAATTTTAAATTTTAGATATAGTTTCTCATTATTATTTTTGTGTAAATATTTTTTGTGTATGTGATGAAAGACATATATACATTATAAGCGTATTAGCAATTTTTTAAATGTTGTAATATTATTTATAAAGTATTAAATAAATTATATAATTTTGAAAAATTTAAAGTCTTCCCGGGCCCAGCGGCCCGGAGGACTACTCGGCCCGCTCTTACGGGCGGGTACGGACATGGGGTTAGGCCCGTTTTTGCGGGCCGGGCCGGGCCCGCCCACACATGATGGGTAGAAAACATATGAAATTGCTTCCGATTGAAATAGGAGAACTCTGGTTCAGGATAAGAATCTATTGATGTCGAACCCATAATTTCTCTGGGATTTTGTTAGGGTTTTTTTCAAGCTTCAGTTGAGGGAGAGTCGGCAAATTGAAGAACACAGAGAGGATAGAAAAGTCTCCAGAATCGAAGGAGAAAAGAGTTGGAGCACCGACTGAGTCGATGAGAACCCTCGAGCAGCGAATGAGAACCGATCGAACTGTGGAGGAGTGGCACGAAGAACATAGAGAGAAGCGGCGGTGACATGGACGTTGAGCGTTCTTACGAATGTTTCTAGTCTTAAGAAAATATACAAGAATCATAGATTTGATCGAAACTTTTAACTTTTGGGAATTCAATTGCCGCCTTTTTTTCTTTCTTAGTGCATAAGTGTTACATTAGATTTCTTTAATCGTAACACTTTAGTAAACTAATGTAACGATATGTCTAAATTGATGAAAGTGTTGCATATGAATCACACGCAGTGCAATCATTTTGAAACAAATGTAACGAAACACATAAAACTGTTACAATAAACCTATTTGTTGTAACACTTTAAGAAAGTGTTACAATTTTATCGTTACATTAGACTCGAAAATGTAGTAGTGAATGATAATTGAAGCCATGTTCATAAAAGGTTATTCAAGCTCAATCTTTTATGAAATAAGTAATTGAGCATTTGTTGATTATCCAATTGTATGCACATAACTAGGCTAAAGTTGGACCTGATGTGGCCCGATTTGAGTAAATCCGCCCCTTGGAAAAAGCTCTGGGTCCATCATCGGTTGCTTCTATTTTATCATCAATATCATCATGTTGTTGATCATGATCTTCATAGTCATCACTAAAATCTCAATCTTCTTCCTCGTCCTCATCAGTAAACTTCTTTGATTCCCTTTCCTCCATATCATTACTGCTTTATTCATACTCAATCGAAGAATTCATCAAATGAGCAGTGGCGGAACGGGAGGAGCCGGTGCCGCCGCCCCCATTCGCCGACGGCGGTAGTGTATATAAATATGTATGTATATATCTCAGCCCCGGCTATTACAATTTGTATATATCATAGCTCCTGCGGCGAAATAATAGCAATGGTTCTGATTTTCCGTTTGGATGCTTCGCTGATATGAGGTTGCTGGCATGTGCGATGTCGCGGGTTCAATTCCCACGGCCGTTTTATTTTTTAAAATACTTTTTCATTACCTCATTATGTATTTCTCCATTAGTCACATTTAGCTTTGACATAGGCCGTAACAGTGTCACTCTTTTAATTTGGACCTTTCTAATAATTTTCTTAAATTGAATCAATCTAGGATATGGCATTGGTTAAATCGTACTTTAGATTTTTTTATTTTTTATTTTACATTCTTAATATACAAATTATTTGTCACTTTTTCTTTCTTCCCGTATTCATATGCAAGTTTTCTTTTTTTGGTTCAATGGTCCCAAAATTAAATTTATACGGAGTAACATAATTGTTAATTATTTCAAAATAAGAAAATAAATCAATGAATATTTAATCATTCCTTTCTTTTTCAAATAATGACATACATCATTTAATGTGTAAATTATCAAGAATAATTCTCAACATACTTTAACTTAGAGAAATTGCCCTAAATAGGAGTAAAAACGTTTTGAAATTCCAAAATAGGAGTATCATGTTTTTTATTTCTTGAATAGGAGTAATCTGCCAAGTTTGGAAGAAACTGACATCTTTAAAGCCTTGTAAAACTAAACTTGGCAGAAATTTACTCCTATTCAGGGAATAAAAAACATGATACTCCTATTTTGGAATTTCAAAACGTTTTTACTCCTATTTAGAGAATTATCTCTTTAACTTAACATACCTATTTACTTTTTCCTTAACATAATAGCATTTTTTATTTGAAACACACTTTATACACATATACACATCTTGTGGATCAAACTTAAGATCTAATGGCTCAAAATCAAACAATAATGCACTACATTTTATCGGAAACGCAGTCACAATCTACTAAACAAATCGAAGTTTCTTTCATCGCAGAAAAGTGCAAAACAAATATCTATCAATGCACCAGAATGAGTAAAAAGTGCACTCGTTCGCACAATTCACATGAACAACTCTTTTTATTGTAACTGCACTCTATATATCAAATGATTACTTTTCACTCGTTTTTCCTTTATTCTAATAAAAAAATTGTTTCATAAATTTACTCAACTCCGTTTCTAAAAGAACCTCACACTTTTCTTTTTTGGATGTGCCAAAATAAAAGTCACACTTCCTTTATTTCCTTATTTGGCAAAGAAATCTACATCCAAACAGTGTCAAACAGTGCCAAACAGTGTCCAAACAGTGCCAAACAGTGTCTAAACAGTGTTTTCTACAGTAAAGTCAATTTATTTCCTTAATAATCGTGAAGTTAAACCGTGACTTTCTTTTAGAAACGGAGGGAGTATATATATACTCCGTATATAAGAGCACCCCTCAAATTGTTTCATAGGACACTTACCAACTAAAGCCCATCTCGACTAGAATTGACTTGATAATTTAAGAGAGTTTACTTTTCAAACTTTAAATGATTGTTGTATGTCAATTTGAGATTGTTGTAAAACATGCTATGGACATCTCCTGCTCCTTCAATTCCAAGCTCTGTTTATTATTTAGCCATATTAATGGGTTCTCATCGTACTGGGCAAAACACATGAACCAACAATAGTCGTGATGAATCATGAACCCACACTTGAAACTGTTGTAATGGCGAAGAGTTTATGTACCATAACACTAGTTACTTTAAAAGAAAGAACGAAAATATGTTCACAAGGCCATAAGAAATTGGGCAAGAATTCTTCACAAAAAAATGGAAAAACAATAGAAAAATGAGTTGAAAATGTGTATAAAACGAGTTCAATTCTCCTGTAAATGGAACTGAATGAAATAAAATTTTTAATTCGTAGAAAGTGTATACAACATAAACGTTAACTCCCAGTTTATTTTTTGAAACAGTTAACTAGATAGCTGGGATTTTTATTGTGATTTTTAATTTTTAGTATGAATTATTTTTATAAAATGTATAAAAATAGGATTATTAATCCCAAATTCGCAAATCATCAAGAATTAAACCTAGAAGAATACTTCTCAAGTTCATTTCGAACAATAATATTGATTTTAACTAATGATTAGTGTTATGCTTATATACATGCACATATTTAACTTGTTTAATTTATATTCAAGATTTATTATAAAAGTTAATTATGTTCACATAGGGAAGATAAAAATATTACTCCCTCCTTCCTATTGAATTTTGCCAATTTTCCTTGTTGGTTGTCCCAAAAACATTGTCACTTTCTCATTAAAGTAATTAATTTGTAGTTCTACTCATTTCTCTTTCTTTTGCACAAATCTGAACCATAAAATTTTATTTTTCTTATTCCTCACCTAATTTGAAGTTGGCAAAGGAAAATTTATTGATCGAGGACCAAACTTAAAGCATCAGGATCCAACGTTCCTATCTTATCTATTTTTGTGATGCAGTTCTGCAGATCGAAACATGAACAACCCCAAGGGCTTAACTATATTTAATTTATTGCTTGTGTGCTTAATTTGTTCAGCAATATTGCCTACTTTAATGAACATTTGAGCACCTGGCCTTTACTTTAAAAGTGCATTAGATCACAACGTATTACTAATTTACTATCCGTTTGTTTACAGACATACTATCTTATACACTACTCCCTCCGTCCCATTTTACCTGTCTTACTTTCCTTTTTGGTCTGTCCCAAAATAAGTGTCTACTTTCCTCTTTCGGAAAGAAATATGTGGTCTACACCATTTCACTTTATTATACTCAAACCTCAACCACAACTTTTACTTTTTCAACCACTTCATTAATAACCGTGTCAAGTCAAACTAAGACACATAAAATGGGACGGAAGTAGTACGTCTTTGTAGAGAGCCCTGTTTGTTGAACACATTTTTTTCGTACCCACCGGTGCACACTTCTGTGAATAGGTTATTTTGTGTGTGTGGATATAGCCCACGTATGTCCTAACTATTATAATGTTTTGAAACTGAACAATTAGATTTTGGCAATTTTTCATTTCTCAGTTATCCAATTCGTGTTTCATACTAGCTAGCTACCTATTCGAAGTACAGAGTATTTTGAAAACATGACATGTATATTAATAACATAGTTTCTTTGATTAAAAATATGATTAGTCACTGTACATGAGTAGCTGGACAAGAGTTAATATAGTGTATTTCAGAGTGACAAATCACTTGTAAATGATGGGTTATTGTGACATGTCACTTTTTGAAGTTTTTTAAAATAAATCATATTTTGTGTTTTGAACCTAACTTAGTACGGAGTAATAGTTATGTCACTCAATATGTCAATGATGCATCAAATTTGGGAAAAGTATAATATGACGAATTGTGGAATTTTAAATTTTGAAATAGATGAAGTAGGTAGGTAGATATTACATGTATAACGTACGTACGGCTAGATCTTTCCTTTTGAACACAACAATGAATTAGACAAGCAACAGGATAGCTAGAGGTGAAGGGAAGTATCAACATCCGGAGAATAAGTGTGATAAAGATGGTCATATTTGGCCATGACCCAAGGAGGAGTCAAGTTTACGTCGTTTATCCGCCGCATCTCCTCCGCTGTCGGTGAAGAGTCTGCCGGCCACAGGGAGAGGGGAAGTTTAGATGATGATGATGATGATGGCTTGGCCGGTGGCGGCGGAGGAAACAAGAATTCGGTCTGGGAACGCTCGTAATAAGTCGTCCGATCATCAACATGTCGAGAATGATGATGATGATGATGATACGAAGATGGCGGTCCTGATCTGGACAGCTCTCTCTCTTGCCGAATCTCCTTTGCCCTTTCCAGTTGTCTAAACCTTTCTTGTAGCAGGGCAATGGAGGAGTGACGATGAAGAAGAGCTGTTTGTTCATCCCCACCTGCAGCTCTTCCCATTTGTGCGTGCGTGCAAGGATTCAATACTTTTCTTGTTTCTATGTGTTTCGGACTTTTTCTCTCTGGCTAGCTTTATCAAAAGAGTAGTTGTAAGCATGCACTTATGGCTGGCTAAGGCTATATATAGGGAATTGAGTGTGAGTGAGGGTATCTTGGCCACTTCACATACTTTTATTAAATATGACTTCAATTGATATGATCAAACATAAATCTTGAGACTAAATGCTTTGTTTAGATAACATATTAGGGAGTAGTGAAGAATTTTTGTCACTTTAATCCCTTGATTATTATTTCAGTGACACTTTTGATACTCACTTTTAATTTTTTCTTTTTTTGGCCTTCGACTGTTGTTTGAGAGACAATTTTAGTGCTTGGTTTCAAAATTCTCCATATTTTTGTCCTCTGAGTGTTGTTAAATTGACGCTTTTAGTCATTCTATGCGCTATGATTTTGACATAATAAGTGGGTGACTAAAAATGTCACAATGATAATAGTTGAATGAATAAAAAATATACTTTTATGAAAATCGAGTGACTAAATATGAAAAAATTCAAAAGGAATATCAAAAGTGTTTTTGCGCAATAATTGTAGGACTAGAAGTGGAATAGTTCAAATTCCACTGACATTATAATCATGAGATTAAATGTGGAAAACGCTATTATTGAAATACATACGTAGTAATTTATTGACAAAAATATTATTACGTGCCATATATAGTTACTATGCATATATAATCACTAAAGTGTAGAGTCAAACACAATCGTGATCACTAAAGTTAGTATATACTATGTATAAAAAGTTATATTTTTATCAATGCCACTACCTTTACTTCAATAATGTATTGGTCATTATTTCTGTTTTTTTGTCCACATACTTTGATCAGTTGATGGCTAGCTACCATATATGGTAGAGTGGTATGTAGACTATGTAAGTTTGAGAATAAAACTACACATGAATACATGATGCTCATAGCTAGTGTACGTATATGCAAATGTTTCTACAATTTTAGTCATATACTTCCTTGTAATTATCTCAAATTAAAACGCAATAATGGTCCATCTTGAAGATCGGACTTATAGGAAGAACACCTTGTAATTTTACACTCTATGTAAGTTTGCATCTTTTGTACACTGGCATGTATTGGCCTCCACTCTAAATTTAAAAAACCGTATATTCTATGTGTAAAAATGTGTATTACTAGATTTTCTTTGCACGTGCTCAATCTGAAATATAAGCCAACTTGACAAAATCAGGTTGGATCAAATTTGGACAATTGCAAAACACACATAAAACATACTAGACATATCTATCAAACCATATCAGTTCAAATTAGATCAGACTAGACCAAATCGGGTCAAATTAGATTAGACCTAACAAAGAATCAGCCGCTATAAACATTCTAAGATGACATAACGTAAGGAAGTACCAAAACTTTTAAATTTTAATCAATACGATAGAAGCAGCCAACGAGAATCGTCCCAAAAATAGAAATCCCAAGAAGAAGAGTTGGGAAGCCAATCTAGGTAGTTTCGCCCGGGGGAAGCTTTACAGCCACATTGCAAGCGTAGGGAGTGTTTTCAACCACTTTTGTTTTAAAAAAACACTTTTGTAAGCGATTTTGAAAAAAAAAATGATTAGTAGTAAAGGTTAATACTGTTTGAGAAAAATGTGATTTTGAAAAGTAAAAGTTGGTAGTGTTTGGTAAAATAAGTGTTTTTTTTGTGTAATATAAAAAGTAAAAATAATTTTTAGCCAAAAGTTTAGAAGCGCTTTTTTAAGTAAAAGTTGTCACTTGAAAACACTAAGTTTAGCTTTTTAAAGTCAAAAGTCGACAGACCCTTTTTAGCTATTGTAATTTTTGCATGAATTAAATTACCGAATGTTATTCACTAACAAATGAGTTCCTCAACAAGTGAAAGTGGAGTGAGTTATACCCCACGTTTAAGATTCTACCCATGAGATCGAGGTGTCGAGTTTAATATGAAGTTCTGGATGAAATAGTTGTATTGGCGGTTTCTGGTGATTTATGAAAAAATTATATTTAAAATATATTATATTAACAAATAAAGAACAAATTATATGAAAAAATAGGTAAAATGATCATCTACAGTAACTTCAATCAATGCAGCCAGAAAAGTAACTACAATTTTACTTTTTCTTATTATTACATAATTCAGCACATAAAATCAAAATTACATGTTTGGTTAAAAAGTTGATTGATATGTCTAATAGCCTGAAAAACAGAATCACCAAACAGAACTTGATTTCAAGACATTGAGTGGTTAAACAATCAATGATTTATTTCGCCTCAAACGTTTTTTTATGGGGGTGTTTAGATTTGATTCTAAAACTGTTTCTGCTTCTTCAGGGAGCAGAAGCAGAAGTTGAAGTGTTTGGATAAAAGTGTAGAAGTGATTCCGATGCTCTATTTTACTCCTAGAATCAGTTTTGGAGACCAACTTCTGAAAACTGATTCAAATTCTGCTTCTACTTTAAAAAAGAAACAGAAGCAGGATCAGTTCCAAAAACCCCTATGTGGTGATGGCAAATAGACAAGTGTTTGGAATCTAGTTAATTAATTATTCGAACGGCCCGAATTTACGATTCTTAAACATTTGGCAATTTGTAGTGTTTTTATAAATTAACCGGAAAAATATGTTTTTATTCACTTTTATACCCACCGTCAGAAGTCTTTTTTTGTATGTGAACCTTGTTCACAAACAAACAAGTCACAAACACGTATAAAGTGTGTACAAATAGCAAACTTCAAACAAAAAAATTGTTTGTATCCATTCTTATACTAACTTTTGTACCCACCATGTCTGTAAAGAGTTTTTTTTATCTGTGAATCCCGGTCACAGACAAAATATGTCTATGCAAATTATTTTGTCTGTGAATTGGATTCACAGACAAAAAAACTCTTCACAGACATGATGAGTATAAGGTGAATATAAAAGTGTGTACAAGAAAAAAGAAGTTCTCAACTTCAAATTAGTCTCACAAAACGTTGATCTAATAAAAAACAAACGAGCTCCTCATAATGATTTATCTTGATAGTTCCCAGATCTCTCATGATGGGCCCATAATCGTCTATGACACCCGCTTATTACGACTCGATTCGAAGCCATTACCATTAAATGACATTAAAATATATGTAATGAGAGACTTTGAGAAAAATGAGAAGACATAATGCCATTTATCGGGTTCGATTTGGACCCTTAGTAAAGAAAAGTGGGAGGACCGTCATAAATAAAACCCCTTAAGCGTTTTGATTTAAGATATTCGGAATAAGGGGCCAAATTGGAGGTAGGGAGGAAAATGGTAAGGGGAAAACTCCGAAATTAGCTTAAAAATTAGCAAATGGAATTGTGTGTATGGAATTATAGGTTGGGTGACGCTTTGTCTATTTGTCCTCAAAGCCACCCTCTTAACTTATGGAAAACCGGCGGTTCTTGAGTGTACTCTTCATTTAAAAAAATTACCCTTTCATCAACTCATTATTTTTCGATGTTTTTTTATAAAATTTTGCAGAGAAGCATTTAGAAGTTGGGCATGCACTATTGTAATGAAATTCAAAACCGAGGTATTCCAACATAAAACCTTTGGTCCATGTTAAATGTCAACATTTTTAATTAGAATAAGATTCAAACGTGTATAATATCTTCTTTGAAAGGTTCACAACGAGTCAATGGTGTCGTGAAAGCACAAGGTACTTGACACTATAAATATAATTTATTGAGCAAAAGTGTCAATATTTGATGTCATAAGTATTCCACCTATAATTTAGCAATTTATAAGTAATTATTTATCTCAATCCCACATACTAGTTCAACTCAAACTAGACCGGATCAACCCGATCAGACCAGATTACGAAAGGTTTAAAATAAACAAAAAAACACACTCTACCAGACCACGCAAATTGAGATCAGACCAAAAAATTCCAGTTAAAATAAAACATCCTGAATTTTTACTTGCTATGCTGTAAGTAAAAATACGGAGTATATAAACTATTTTGACAAAGAATAATCAAACCTTAGATCACTCAAACTAGATTAATACGGAGCAGATAAACTATTTTTTGACAAAGAATAGTCAAACTTTTTATGACGAAGAAAACGTTACCCCTTACTATTTTGTCCATTGGCACACTTTTGTTATCCCTGTAAAATCGTAAAAGCCAAGACATAAATTGTTTTTCATATATGTACAAATTTGAAATTAGCCTCATGATTTTCTTCCTCGATCACTAGCTAGGCAACTTTTCCCAAGTTATTTTGTACTACACTGTAATACGAATATATAGTTTTGTTTGATTGTGTTTGGAGGAAAATAGTGTCATAGGTCATGATTGTGGGACTCAAACCACAATGTCCTTATTATGCAGCATATTCAAATAAAAAAGTAAATGAAAATCTCCCAACTTTTTTTGAAATAAAAATCTCACAACTTCTAGAGAGCGTAAGGATATACTCGTAATAAATAAAACTCAACCAATTTTTTAACCCGCAAAGTTAATAGAAATTAGTGTTTGAATCTGATTCTTAAAACTGTTTCTACTTCTCCAAGGAGCAGAAACGGAAGTTGGAGTGTTTGGGTGAAAGTGTAGAAGTGATTCTGGTACTCTAAATTTACTCTTAGAATCAATTTTTCTAGAAGCTGGGGGGGACCAACTTCTGAAAATTGATTCTACTTCTGCTTCTGCTTTAAAAAAGAAGCAAAAGCAGAATCAGTTCCAAGCACCCCTAAGAGAGAAAAATTGAATGTACAATCCATTTCGAATTTTATGTACAAATACCTCCATTACATTTGAATTATACATCTAAACACAAAATTCTACTCCCTCCGTCCCAGAAACAACTTCCATTTCCTTTTTGGGCAGTCTCGAAATTAACTTCTCACTTCCTTATTAGGCAAATTATTTACATTAAAACGGTGCAAAATAGTGCAAAACATTGCAAAACAGTGTCAAACAGTGTTGAAGCAGTGTCAAAACAGTAAAAGTTACTCCATAGTAAATTTATTTCCTTAATATGTGTGAAATTCATCTGGGAAGTTCTTTATGGGATGGAGGGAGTATTAATTAAGGATGGC